TATTGGGTAATTGGAACTATAAGGATATATGTAGGTTATTAAAAATATGAAAAAAATTGTTATTATAAAACTTATTTGGTATAAAAAACATTGTACAAAAGTATTCAATTTATTAAGTTATCTAGATAATAATATCTTTTAACTATTTATATGATTTCTCTGTGTTAAATTAACAATAATTTAAGTTTTTCTTAATAAATTATGTTATTGTATATAATATATAATATATAATATTGTATAATAAATTGTTATTTATAAATAATGATTCAATTGAAATTAATCGTCTCAATAATGATTCAATTGAAAGAAATTAAATCGTTTCAATAAAATTGTTCATTTTTAACAATTTGATTTGATTAAAAAAATCATTCAAATCACTATATCTTTATCTATAATTTATTATAGATAATTTTTTTATCTTCAAGATATTTCTCTTGATTTTAATTAATTTTATGTTTAGTATATAATAGTTCAGAATAAAAATTCCAGCAGTTATTAAAAGAAGTATTATATTTATAAAATCAAAAATATAATTTATATTTATATTATATTTATTATTTATAATAAATATTTTATTTAAAATAAAATTTAATAAAAATATATATTATTATATATTTTTTATAATAAAGAATGTATTAAAATGATGCTGATTATTGAATCAATATCCGATTAAAAGTCGAGGACAAATTTTGCAACAAAACGATTTAAAGATTTTCTCGCTAAAAGTCGTTGTTATGACGTTCATATTGAAAAATAAGACGGATCGAGGAATTTTTGTTCGAATTTGGACGATCCATCAAAATTGCGACAGAATGCTTGCGTTTTCTCAACGAAGAAAGTTATCTTGTTTCCTGACTGAACATACAACATTTGAAAAAGAAGTTTTTGCAGGATTTTTCGAAGTACTTTACTTTTTAAAATTTTTCGATTTTGAGAAATTGTTGCACGAATTTTATACAATTTATTTATATCATACTTTATTCCTGTCAATAGAATTTTTTTATTTCTTTTCTAATATTTTTAGTGGTAAAAATTTTTACTTTTCAAACTTACTTTTCAAAGTCATATGAAATAATATAGATATTTGAAAATGTAATCGTATAAATAATATGTATATGTATGTAGATCGATATTATAACGTTCGATCATAATGTTGATCATAGATCAATTCGTTTCATCATATTTTTAATCAATTCTGGACAATTTGAAACAAGAAATAAAAATATTTATATAAAATTATTTTTTTAAATCTATTAGATACAAGTATTAACTTGCAATAATTATTTATTTCTATATTGATTAAATTATAATTGATATTGATTGCATATTTTAATTTATTATTAATTAATTCTATTTTCATAATTCTGATTTTCTTAAAATTAGTTTTTCTATTTCTAATTCCTTTTAATTTCGCATAATAAAAATTTTTCAATTGTATTTATTACATTTATTATAAATGAAAAAGCCAATTGTTAATTATAATTAAATTAATTATAAGTATATTGTGTATAGGGAAAAATTAAAAGAAATATGGGTACTAAATATGATTTTGATCAGATTCTATATAGAACATATCGAAATAAAAATTTATTCTTCTTTCTCTAATTTGTCAGTTTATTCAAATTAACATTTATCGATACGAAATGTGAAATATTATGTTCATTGGTTAAAAATTATAATTATTAATTATTAGTACAAGTTATTAAGAAATAAATTTTGAAAATTTAAAAAAAATTTTTTCTTTTTAAAGGAAAAGTACGTTTGACTAATGAAATTGAATCTATTTTGAAAAGTTTAAATTTTAAAATATTTCTTTGTCTTTCGGTTGGAAGAAAGTTATTTCAAATGGATTGCCAAGGTTGAAACGTATGAAAAAATCGACTGTTCTATGTCAACTAAATATTTACTTGTTCACATGCGTAATCTTTTACAAACATACTTATTCAAATATGCTATACAAATTTCTTAACTGTAACTGTAATAATCCAGAAATTATAATTTGCAATTATAATTATATAACGTTATAATACAAATATTTATTTATTATGAATTATTTGATTTATTCATTAAATCATTAATAAGTTATACAATTTTTTGTTTTGTCAAGATAAATTAACAAAATGGTAAATTTAAATAAATAAATAATAAAATATAAAAAAAGAATATTATTAAATAAATATAAAATGAATATTTGACTGAATTCATTATGCTATTAAAATAAATTTTGATTCGAAATTTATTTGAATCGTTAATATTCTTCCATAAATTACTTTATATACATGTATTATAAATATAAAATAAATTTGAAATAATAAAAACAATATATAATATCAATAACATATTTTTATGTACAATCTTTCAAGGTCCTATCATATTTTTCTAGAATTAAACCAAAATAACGACTTTAGAAGAAGGTCGTATGTTACATTTTATAAAATTTATAAAATTTAGAGAAAGGAACGACTATTCATTCTTTCAATAACGATAATTGATATTCAAATTCAAAATCTTTCACGTAGAAAAAAATAAATATCAACAACAACAAACTGATTTATTAATTGTAAACACAAAATTAAATAAATTTTTCCCCAAAAATAAACGCGATAAGACTTTTTCTTGATAATACATACATCCTTTTTCCATTTTCTCGTTACTGTTCATTCATTCATTCAAGCTGTGCCAATTTTTCCTACAATTTTTCACCGCTGATTCTTGCGCTTCAAAAAATTTCATTTCGAAAAATTTGTCCTTTACGTTTCTCCTCACCCTTTCAAATATTCTATACGTGTTAATCGACGTTTTTTCGAGATTTCCTTCTATTTATTACAGAGCAATCGCCGATTAATCGCGTGCAAAGTAATTGTCTAGTCGTGTTAACATCGTGAAAACGGGAGAATCGGTGACGGATCGGAAAATCGGATATTCGGCGATGTTTTTTGTGACGAGGGCGAACGAAAGAAGATTGTTCTCGGTATCGATGGTGTCTGGAAGCTGATTTTGTATCGTATTTTCGAGGGCAGAAGGGAACGTGGACGAAACGTTCCACGAGCGGAAGAGGGACGGGGGTTGGAGGGAAAATAGGTGGCAACGGAGGCCGATGGCTCGTTCTCGCGAAGGGTAGCTCAGCCTCGAGTGTTACAATAAATCAACGAAACGCTTTTGCAGAGCTCCACCCTCGTAACTTCTGCAGAATACATCCCATAGAGATCACGACGTTACCAGACTGTCCCATTTTCATTGTGTTTAAAGTGCCTACCTCGCCGCTTCGATCGGATCGGCCATCGTATAAATTATTTATCCTTGCTTCCTGTCACGCGGCAATATCGAAAAGCTCGATTACGCGTACGCGTGCAATGAAACGTCGAGAGGAATGAATTTTCGAATTTGAAAGACGAGATCTTTCTGATTGAATATAATTTGGACAGGGAAAAAATTGAGTTTGGAAGATGAGAAAAGATAAAAATCGGTATCAAATACATTTTTTTTTAACAAATATTCTATGACATTTCCTTTTGAAAATAATTTTATTAATTGGAAGGGGGGGAGGGGGACGCAATTTTTTTTAGAGACGCTCGGTTTTATCTTTTTACAGATAAAAGCGAAAGCAAAAATTTTAACTTATTTTGACACGATTCAATTGATTTTCAACCCACTTTTGACTCATTTAAATTTATTTTCATTTATACATATTTTATACATTAGAATCAAAGATTACGAAATTCGAATTATTCGTTGTAGATATCGTTTGATTAAAACTTAACAATAAAATTCGATCATAGGTCAAGTTATTCATTCTCATTTCTCTTCCATTATGGATTTTTTACAAAAATTTTTGATCACTTTTTAATACAACGACCGTTATGATCTGATATCGCACAAACTCACAAAACAGAAATTAAAATTGAATAATTTAAGCGAAATCATCCGTTGTACATACAATTACAAAAATTCATAATGGCACGATTATTCAAATTTTTTTTAAATACAATTACAATATTCATCAAACGATCTATTATTATTTCAAATACAAAACGACAAATTTTATAAATTCGATCGATACAATTCAAACTTTTCTCGACGATCGCTCAAACAAAAAACAACATTAATCGTCAATTGCATAAAACCAAACTCAAAAAAAATAAGAATATAAAATTGTCTACTCGATAAAAATTGAAGAGCGAAAAAAAAAGAAATCGATCGGAAATCTATCTATAAGAGAACGAGACGATAATACATAACCGATACAAATTTTCATTCCAATCGTCGTGTCTCGATCTCGATTAAAACTCGTCTAAGTCATACGCGCGCAAAACGCGCAATGTCAATTCGGTAAAAAAAGAAAGCGACAAAAAGAGTACAAGCATACATATCGACGAAGCGAATCGTTAAGATCGAGAGAAATATTGGATCGAGGGTTTATCGAGAGGGCGAGAGGTGGGCCCGCTCGAAGCGACCCTTGCTCCAATATCTTTGTGCACGTCCTCCTTCCTCCTTTCCTGTCTCCGCGATACCCGTCGGCCTGTCACTCGTGACAAAAGGGCAAACAGCCCCGTGGCGGCCGTGGCGACCGATTAATCCCCGACAAAAGGGGCTGCGTATCGCGTAGCCCTCGACCGGCCCTCCTAAAACCTACCTTCGCCCTTACCGACTAGAAAAGGGTGCCCCTTCCTCCCTCGCCTGGTGGCAGGGGCGAGTGCCTATCCTTCCCTCGATGGAACGATCCAATCCGGGCTGGAGGGTGGGCACCATCGTTGGTATATAACTCTGGGGTGAGCTTTGCTCAAGTGAGTATCGGTCGATCATATAGCTTTTCCACACTTGTTTCTTTCGTATCGAGTTAAATCCGTTTGTATCTCGCTTACCCGCGAAGAACCTTAAATTCTTTGTCTTTCAGGCGGTAGGCTCGCCGCAAGAGGTAACCAATTACGCTTCGAAATCACGTTTTGAAGGAATTGATGCGAGCCGCGAGTACGATAATTGCTCGAAAATATACTCGTCGATAGAGCGGGAGGAATATGTGTGAAGATAAGGAGACCGGTTTCTTCAGGCCGTGGAATAATCCTGAGAGGAGTACGAAGGAGGATAGGATCGAGGCGTCAGTTACAATTGAGGAGAACCAATTTTCTTGTGTGAAACAAGAGGGAGACGAAGATCAAAGATTTTCGAATCTTTACGAAAAGATCTCCTTGTCATCTGGTTCCTTCGAAAGGCGAAGAAGAAAGAAGAGCGATTCTTCTATCAAAACGACGAGCAGCTCGTCGTTGAAAGTTAAGAACGAGAGCAGGAATGGAAGCGTAAGTTTGTCGAAAGATTCTGTTCTCGATTGTCCATTGCCCTCCGAAACGGGTTCCTTTTCGATTCCTGGTTCTCGTGGCCACTCGTTGTTCGATGCGCCACACTCCTCAATTAATTATCTTCAGAGAATGACTGTCCCGATGCGCTCTGATCCGTGGTGTGATCCTATGGCTTCAACGTTGCAACCAACAGCTTCGACGACAGCGACGATAGGGCTCCCGTTTTATTGTGGATTCCCTTCGGTGTTGCACAGCTTCCCACAAGCGCCTTCGTTTGTGGAGCATGCTGTGGGAATGCTCGAAAGACAAGAGGCGGTCGCGAAACAAATAAGAAAACTGCGACCGAAAAAGTTTAGGTGCGAACACTGCGACGTCGCATTCAGCAATAACGGCCAACTAAAGGGACACATCAGGATACACACGGGTAAGCAGTTTTTCTATTTTTGTTCTGTTATTGAGTTTGTTGTTATGGATAGAGCGGCGACCGGTAGAGAGACGTTATTCCTTATTTGAATTTTTAATTGTATCGTGCGAAATTTGTTTTGGTCGAGTACATCGAATGTTTTCAAGAGTTATCCTTGCTCGTGTTCTTCGAATATTTTAATTTTAACGTATTCAATTTATTTAGGAGTCGAAAAATTTTTGAATTGTTTAACGAACTTTTAAGCGTTAATTTTATAATTTTTATAATTTTAAATATTTTTGTAATTTGTAATTTTTAATTGAATAATTTTTTTTTTTCAATCTTGTCAATTTGGAAATTTGCGATTTTTGTTTCCACGATGAAAATATTTTTCGATCACAGGTGAAAGACCGTTCAAATGTGACGCGAAGGATTGCGGCAAATCGTTTACCAGGAACGAAGAATTGACGAGGCACAAGAGAATTCACACTGGACTTCGTCCTCACGCTTGCATAATTTGTGGAAAATGTTTTGGTAGGAAAGATCACTTGAAGAAGCATATGAGAACGCACGAGAATCGCGATCCGTATAGAATGTCCACGGCCACATTGGGAATGATCGGTTTAGGAAATACTCTACCTCAGGGATTTTTCCCATATTTCTATCCAACGTGATATATTTGTATATATTGTATAAACGACGATAATCTCGACAATAATTTTGTATTGTATATCGAATTGACATTATTTTTTATCTTTTATATATTTTGAACTATACAGATATTTATATTATATATAGGGTGTAGATAGAAAAAAATTAGGGACCAAAAAATAATATTTTAGAAGTAATTAATTGAAAAGAAGCAAAGTTTTCGAGTTGAAAAATTTTTAGATATTATTACTTTTTAGATATTACTTTTTACTTTTAGATATTATTATATTATTATATTGGATTCGAGATTAAAATGAGATATTTTGTATATTTCATATACAACGGTTATAATATTTATATATTAAACACTAATTGTTGCCTTGATTCTTCGTTTTATGAAGAATCATTGAATGTTTGTCAAGATTGTTCCTATTTTTGATACTATGATACTTTTTATCGATATTATACTAGTCGAATATTATATAACGCGATACGAAGACATTTATACATTAGATTAAAGATTAAAGATTATGATATACATATTATATTTAACGACAAATAAATTGTTATTTATTTTTAATAATAAATTTTGTTCTTATTTTCAAAATCCACATCTTCCCCAATTAAATATTAAGAAAATATTTAATACTAAAAAGATTTACCTTTACGATTAATCCCACGAATCTTTTTGATTAAAAATCTAAACCTATACTTACAAATAAAAACTATCAACTAAAACTTATCAACTTTAAACTTTAAACTTAATATTTATGAATTATTTCTTCCATTTATCCGTGTTATTTTCCTTCAAATTTTCCTATACTTAAAAATCTAAGCCTATACTTACAAATAAAAACTCTAAAACTTATCAACTTTAAACTTTAAACTTAGTATTTATGAATTATTTCTTCTATTTATCCGTATTATTTTCCTCCAAATTTTCCTGTACTTATACACATGATTTTTTATCGATAAAATAATTAATTAAATCAAATTAAACAAGAAGCATATAAAAATCCACATTCTTTTGAAATTTTAAAATACCCATAAATAAATGTTAAATGAATGAAACACCAAACAAAAATACATGTATATGAACATTAAAAAAAGTCACGGGTGTCACCACCATTTTCCTGACAATTAAATTCAAGATGGCGTCACCAGAACCCCAGAAATTCGAGGATCAAAGGATCCCCATTCTCGAATCATAGGGTGACTGGTGGTGAAGGGCTGGTACAGGAATCGAGGGTTGCGCCCTTTCGCCTACCGGAAGGGACGGTTACCGCGTGCAAGCCTATCCCTGCCTCCTTCCGTTTTTTTCCCCTCCTCCCCTTTCCCTCCTTTCCATCGCTTTCGTTGCAATACGTTCTTGCTTCGCGACAGCTCGTGGCCGCATACATAAATGTTTTCGGTTGATTTCGGGATGGGGAAGGTTTCGAGGGGTGGTTCGCCAGATTGCGGCTTGGAAAGAAAAAAAAACTCGAATTCAATTAGTCCTCCCCTCGAGCAGATTATCGGGCCGACTATTCGATTACATTGTGTCGAGGAAGAAATCGATTACCTCTTTGAATTTATTCTTCCTTTTCGCGTTTAATTTTTTTTTTTTTAAATTACGCTTAAATCTTGCCTCCTCTAAACTAACAATTCCTTAACAAATAATAATATCTCCATATAACTTTCTAATATCAACTTTTTTCGCTCGTTTCTCTCGAACCTGTGGAATCGATTTTTCGAAAAGTGAATAAAAATCAACGTTCCGTTCGTGTGGATACCTTATATAAGTGCGTTTAATATATCGACATGCAATGGATTTGGATAAAAGAAAGGGACAAACATAGAGTGAATTGCACCGTAGGAGAGAAGTCATAAGGCCGTACTGTCATATATCAGAGCATCGGTAGGAGGGTGTCGACGAGCTTGAACGAATGTCTCAGCAGGGTTGCTGGTACCCGTCCAAGCTACCGTGTCCAAACGCAAGAAATTTAATGCACGTATAATCCTAAACTCACCGGGTTTTCCACGTTATCGCGCGGACAGGATTCAATTTCCTGTGCTAATTGTTGCACTCTCTATAACATATTATTTATTTATTTTCTTTCCTTCCCGCATTTCAATTCTTGAACACTATACTTTTTTTTTTATTCTTTTTTATTATATTTTATTATATTTTTGTTACTTATTCGTATAATCATTATGCTGATGATTTTGGTCGTTATTCGTTTAAATCTTAGGAGTCAACCTGACACCAAAAGGGAAAGGTCGTTTATAGAGTTAAACGTTTCCAAGTTAAACGTGAGCCGGATTACAGCGATCCTTGCCCACCTTAATCCCAGATTACGAGAGAAGTCCTTTTTTGCAGTGTGATATTAGGATTTTGAAAAGTGTGATCCCTCATTGTGATTTATATATTTCAGTGCACAGAACGACAAATTCGAATTGTCTTCGAGTCTATTCGTTGTTTAAATTTTTCTTTTCATCGTTGATATTTTGTTTCATATGTTTTACATTTATTTGAAAAATGAATACCTTTTTTGGCGTAAAATTATAATACCATTTACATATGATATATTTATCATACGGGAAGCTAATTCTAATATCTTAATATCATTCACAACGCGATCCATCTTAATATCATCCAAAACGACTATTTTCGTGCGTTTGATAAATGATAGAACGACTTCTGTCTCGTTCTGATTTCTCGTAAATGTTATTACTCAACAAGATTGGAAACACCTTTCAGGAGGTTGTATTCTCTACTCGACACCCCATGGACGTTTATCCAAAGGAGGCTGCGCAACAGGAAGAACACCCGGCGCGAAGACACCATTGATTCCGTTTCAACGACTCGCGAAAATGAAGCAACATATTTGCCGATATTTCACATATTATGTTATGTCGTTTCACTTCATTACCGATATTTACATTTATCATTTTATTTTAAGGATAATTTCTCTGTCAAGCCGATCAAGTTTACGTAAAAATAAGATTTTCTTTTTTAAATATAATTCCCTTATAATATTAATAATAAAATCCTCCCTATTCCATCGTTTCTTCACTTTATGCGATTCCAAAAGTCTTCGATCTTTCTCCCTTCCCCCCCAAGAATTCTTCGATTCACGTCAGTGACGTGAAAATCGTACCCCGGGTGGTCCTGTATATCGGAATGTTTGCCCACGTCATTGTTGCGTCTCTGACACTCGATGGGCTACCTTTCCCAGTTTAAAAACCGTTTAAGCCTCTAATAGGCGCGGATGCATCGTCGTCCTTTCTCGCAGGCAGGACTCGGCCTCAGGTGGCCGTCGACGAGTATCCTCGTTCCCCATGGGGAAGCAGAAACACCCGGGGCGCGTTGACTCGCTGATATATGGATCATATGGCTTGCGATCACCACGGATCGCGGACATGACGGACATTAGGGTGGTTGGCTAGGGTCATTTTCTAAAAGGAGAAGCGAAGAAGAAGAGGAGTTACGACGTTACATCTTGCCATTTTTACAAAGGGAATGGAAGGGAAGAAAAAAAATTTTTGAACTGCGTTGCCATTTTTCAATCCTATCTAGATTTCTTCTTTTTTATTTCTTTTCTCGTTCACTGCAATGGTGATCGAGAAATTCTCTTAGGCGGATAAATCTCTTTTAATTACCTGGAATTTGCATTTGACACTCTTCTGAATTCATTCAACTCTTCAAAAAAGAAAAAAAAAAAATCTCGTTATTATTAAGTTATGATAAAAAAAATTAAATATCGATTGACTAATCGAAAAATAAGATATAAAAAGATATTTTTGCCAGTTACATTTTTAATCGCCGTTTGGTCAAGTTTCGTTTCTATTTACAAATTATGAGAGAATATGAATGGTACGGGATATGAATTCACTTCTTCTTTTTCTTCTTAACCGTCTTACTCGGTTTGGGCGTGATCTTCACTTTCTTCACCTCTTCCACCACAGGCTCGAGAGGCTTTTCCCACATCTTTATCTGATCCTCTATCTCCTTTCGCTTCTGCAACGACCAAGGCCTCGCCACCTTGAACTGAAAATCTATTTGTATCGCCTTATCACCCATGCCCGATACCTTCTTCATTTTGAACATGAATAAATTCGGATTCTGCTCCTTCTCGGGCTTTTCCATCACCGCTTCATCCTTTGTTTTCATATCCCCTTCGGCCGGCACCTCACCGACCTTCACCTTGGGATACAGAGTGACCGTCCTGCTCCCGGGCACCTGGGCCTGCTCGATATCATTCGCCTCCTCCACTTTGGACTGCGGATCCTCGATGCATTCGCACGGTGGATCGTATTCGGGTTTCTTGAACTCCTTCTGGGTTCTCAGCACCACTTTGTTGTCGTTGATCATAACTTCCATTTGCTTGTACGGTAAACCCTTCTCCTCGATATCCGAACGAAGTTTGCTAGGCCTCTCGAATTCGTACATGCTCGAAGGCTTCACGGGGCAACATGGCGGTGGTTCTTTTATCTTTGGCTGAGGGATAACAGGTTTCAATGGACGTTTCTGGCAGCAGGAGCTTTCGGGACAATCTGTAGGTTTGGGCGGCTGCTTGATGGACGATATTTTCTCGGGACCTGCCGTTTCGCAGCAAGGCGAGCACGAGGGTTTCGATGGTGGTGGGCAGCCGCAATTGTAAGTGGCTAACATCATTTTGTTTCGCGAATTCTTTTCGTGATTTCGGGGTAAGAGTAAGAAGAATAAGAAGAAGAAGAAGAAGGAAGTGGCTGGATGAATATGGTGGATTAATCGATGTTTGAGCGTCAAGTTGTAGGGATTTGCGACATGTTTGGATAGGTTGGGGTACACGTTGTGAATGCAACTGATCTTCCCCGAGCGACCTGAACTCGTCTCCAAATGTCGATTTTCACTCCATCCCGATCCCATCAACCTCTTCCTCCTTAAATATTTTAAATTAAAGAAAAATAATGTCGAAATTTCAAGTATCAAAGTGGCAAAAATAATAATTGTTATCTCGAATAATTTCACTTGTTGAGAATTCAAACGAGATTGGTGAATTAATTTTTTTTTTTTTTAAACTCACGATATTCGTTTCGATATCAAAATCGTCCAAAGATGTACGTCTGCCCTACAATGCCACCCGCACCCTGTCCACCGGAATGTCCACCACCCAAGCCTCGAGACGCCCCCACCAAGTATTTTCGAGAGATTGGAACGGCCATGATCGGGAACCAATTGATAATTCGCGTGGAAAGGCAAAAGGGGAAGTCGAAGAAGTTGAAAGATTGGGATCCTCCGTGTGATTGCGACGTGGAGATAGTAAGGCCGACGAGTAAGGAGGGGCCGAAAATATTGAAGGGTGCCGACAACAATCGGATCCTGTTTCGCGTCGAACGGCAGGACATCTCGAAGGATAAAGATCAAGATATGGCGCAAACTATTTCTTACGAAGTAAAATGACTTGTTAATTCGCTTGTTATAAATTTCCAGATCTGAAATATTAACACACACGATACGTAAATTGAATTCGATATTTTTCCAAGTATCTTGTGTGTGTATATATATATAAATTTTCACAGGTTGGCGAGTGCAAAGGAGGTCTAAGGACGAACGATCAATGCAGAACGTTCACCATTTACCCCGTGTTCAACGGCACCGGGGTGCAGCAGATACACACGGATCGCGTGACCGAAGGGAATGAAAATGTGTTCATGCTAAGAATGAAGAAGAAGAGTGATTCCTCGGCCGAGCAGCCGAAGAAGAACGTAGAACTCGAGGTGAGGACACCGAAACCACCAATCCCCCCTCCGGAAAAACTGGAAAAACCGTTGATCGTGGACGAAGATTGCGTGAAACTCGTCACAAAAGAGGAAATACCGCAGATCGAAACACCGAAGCAAGAAGTAAAAAAAAAGAAAAAAAGAAAAAGAAATGATCCATATAATTTCTTTCTATTTCTTTCAATATTTCTAAATTTTTGAATGTATATATATATATATGGAAAATTATTCACGAAATTCAATTTGATCATGTTCTTTAGGTAAAAAAAAAAAAAAAAAAAGAAAATTGAACACTTTCTTGAAAATTTTTAAAATTACTCCTTCTTTGCTTCTTAATTAATTAATAATAAATCAAGAAATTACAAAAATGTTATATCATAAGTCGCAATTATATAAATCTTATCTTGATTTAAAAGCACTTGGCGTTATATTTTAGTTATCCAAGTATCTTGCGGTACAATGGACACTTAAGATTTAAGATATTTAGTAAAAAAAAAAATTCCAAAAATCATCGAAAACAAGGTTTTGAAGGATCATCGCTTAAGAAAGTTAATATCACAGTGTCGACACTTAACGGATTGTTACCGCGACGAATTTGCAGGTACACCACAACCATTATGGCGGACAATCGAGGTTACTGAACGCTTTCTGAATGAACTTGAAAGTTAGGATTCATGAATGAAGTTCGCAAAAGTTCGGTTCCACGATGCGTAAAAGTGCACGAGTCAGCGTTCTCGTTCCTCATTCATCCATGGCACAAGCATCCGTGGAAAATTGCTTCGTTACGGACAGATGAGCTCGTCTTTGGTGATTTTCTTTCTCGAAGATGGCCGTCATTGAGAAACGAAACGATTGACGACGACTCTTCCGAAACTCTTCTTCTCATTGTGACCGTTCGAAACATCCTTGTAATTGGTCTTAACTCCTTCCTTCGTCTGTCACAGCAACGTGATGATCGTTCGCGTGAATGAGAAGAGTTCTGCCATTGAGAAATTTTCCAAGGAATGGGATTTTTACACGATGATTCTTGTGAATTATTACGAATCATTATGGGAAGGATTTTTTCTGGAATTCTATTAAATTTGTTCACAATTTTACTCTACGAAAAATGTATCTTTACGTATATCCAATGATTATGAACAGGGAAGTAAGAGTTACAATTTTTAATTATTACCGAAAGAGGAAATAAAGAAAGATTTATATATTTTTTCCTCAAAGTTAAAAAAATTTTTCAACGATAAAGGAACACGATTGACTCGAAAGTGATCTAAGAAAAAAAAAGAAAGGTAGCTTCAGGATTAATTTACCATCTCGCTATACATCGTGAAAGCTACCTACTCCAAGAATCGAGAACAGATTGTCCAGTTCCGCCTATAATCGTTCTTTAGAAGCAACATCGATCATTTTTCATCGAACGAAGAACAAGTCCCACCTACGATATATCCACGATGCTACGCTGAAATATCGTCTTCATTCGGTTGTCCTCCATTGTCTGCCAGCCTCTGTATTTTTTTCTTAATTCCCTGACACGAGAAACGGGGCACCGGTGGGCGGGTGGCTTATTCCTGAAAAAAAGAGTGAATGGCGTGGTCCAAGTCGAGGTCCATTCGAAGCACCAGCACCTGACTCTTCGACTTCTTTTTTCGATCGTGAGAATCGGTTCGAGCCTCGATTTTTCGGCCTCGATTCGATGTCGTGTCGAGAGAAAGAGAGAGAGAAAGAGAAAAAAAAGAACGGAGGAAATCGGGGGAAGAATACACGTCTCTTTTTTGAACGTTGGGCGCAGTTCTCGAGAGGAAAAGTGGTCGCGGAAGATCGAGAGATCTTTAATGGGAAAGGATGTTTGATGGTCTTCAAGGTGGTCGAGAAGGCGAAGCTTTTGCTTTTTGTAATTTTTCGTCTTCGATTCGAAAAATAAGAATTACTATTAGAATTCTTAACCTTAGAAATCGAATGTTAAAAAGATAAACATTTTTTTATGAAAAGAAGAAAAGTCAAAATTCTGTTTAATCTGAAAAGTTTTGAAAATAAAATATTTCATCTTTCCAGAAATTGAATATCTCAAAAGAGAATTCGAACGTTCAAACGGCATATTCATAAATGGATTGGAAGAAAAAGAAAGAGAGAGACTTACAACGGTACTTGGACAATTTGCCTCGGGTAGAACCAGTAGGATTTTTAGTCGCCACAGGTGCCGATCGCGCCCTTTTCTAGGCGTGGATTTACCTTTAATACCCGGCCATCGATCTATTTTCCTATTGAATATACCTTTTCACCGGAAACTGACTAACGGTTGACTCTTCGATGGCGATTCTCGGATAATTACCAATAATTTCTGATATATTTCTGATATATTTGTATAATTTCATGGTGTCATTGAATTTGAATGTTAGAGCATTTGGCAGGTAGAAATTTCAGAATTTAGAAAATAATAATATATACAATTTAATATAATATTTCTGAATAGGTGCGGTATTTTAGTTTGTGTTGTCGAGTAATTTTACCTTCTATGTTCTACACACACATATGGTGTTAATTGACTCTGCATTATAAGTTTAAAAGATGTATCCAAAGGATTAAATTGACAATGGAAATGAAGAAAATTAATTAAAGAAAATATGAAGAATTTTTGATATTTTTTTTGATCTTCCTTATTATTAATAATATTTTCTAACCAATATTTTGAAGAATATTTCTTATTACTGATTATTCTTTGTGATCAAATATTTACACAATGGAGAGTGTTTTCGAATCGTGCAAGCAATCGTTCTTTCATTCACAAGAACGTCAGAGATTTTCTTTATGGAAAAGTAACAAAAAATTGCGAAAGAATACGGAAGAACAGCACAGTAGGCTCATAATCGCGATTGTCGTGGGAGTTCATAAAAGTGTCCAGTTCCATCTGTGTGTGGTCTGACAATGCCATTCTGGCCAATAAATTAGATAAACCGCAAGAAAGACTTGCTCTCGATGTAGGAAAAATAGCGTGACACGTATGAACATTGTGGCGGGTGGAAAAATCTTTTCCAAAAATCGGTCGTAAAGAAAAGCCTGTGGTCGTCGATGAATGGGACGACAAGTGACCAAGTTATTATACGTGGAACGAATCTCTTCTGCAGACAGAAGAAAAGAATTTCTTTAGAGAAATATCCATGATACAACGTCAAAGAAATGGTATCAATTGTATAAGAAAAAAAAAAAAAAAAAAAAAATAATAATTGATACTCTTTTAATCTCTATTTAAAATTCTTCAAGAAAATGTTTTGTATGTTTTGATAAAATCTAATTGAAATCAATACGAAAATGTTAAACGCTTAAAAGTGTTATTGAATTTTAAATAGAATATATTAGTGAGCCATTAGTATATATCTCATTATGCATAATATGCTTGATGTAATATTAGCACGTGTAAGTAAATACACTATTGGCTGCGAATTAACTTATCCAGATGTTATTTTATTAGCACTTACATTCAATAAAATATATATCCTATTTCCATTCTCATACTCGTTCCTTTAATTAACAATTAAAAATAATATTTAATTTTATAATAATTCTAATTCCATCTCCCATCTTACCTATGCAAAGAATGCAACTGACAATCATCTCATCCCAAGAAATAACGACAATTTTCCGATTCGTTATGAAAGGAAATTCTACTTCACCTATTCTCCTCATGGTCATTAATCCTCGAATCACGTTTGAGAATAATAATAAATAATACGTATTGACGATGCGACGCATAAATAAAATCCACGCATGGCAGGTAGCCGAAATCGAAGCGATTCCACTCCAAGGGTGGTCCTCCGTCCTCCGTCGTCTATTTCATTCCGGAACCGCAACGAAAATTCATCGACACGTCCACCTAGAAACGTAATATCATCATTATACATCTCGGTCGCACAGATGCGTCGCCTTATGAAGGTACCGTTTTTATATTGCGGTTAACGCGGCCATTGTGCCCCGTATTCACAAGAGATGGCTTCCATGGACCCCTGCGGAGGAGAGGTTCCGCGGGGTTGGATCACTCGTTTGCTTCCCCTGTCGACAGCTACCGTAATCTGTACACGCTTCCTGGCCAGATTTCTCACTTGGTCTCCCCTTCTTCCGGGGCCATTACCTGGATCGAGATATGGAACGAGGAGATCCGGGACAAATTGGGTTGCTTCTTTTGGAATTAGTTTGCCAGGATGATTTTTCACGAGGCGAGTCTGGTTATTAGAGTTTGGGATCTGGAACAAGATTTAAGTCAAATTAAGTTTGGATGTATATGTCAAAGGATTGTTAAAGATGATTATTATAGAAATAGTGAATCTATAGAAGTTTTTGAAGATTGAGGCTTTCTGGAAGAAATCTCTTCATTCAAGATTTTTTTAAAAAAAGAATAGAAGAAATAAAGTAAAAGATTATCATTCTTTGATAGAGCTATTCCATTGAGCTGCTTGTTCAACGATTGTTGATTAAAAAAAGTCGAAAAATATTTATAAATCGATACTGTCTGTTATTTAATATCAGCAATATCGATTTCGATCGTTTAAAGGTTAAATTTTCTGATGAAAGAATCGTGGGAAAAAATTTCTTTTTTACAAATTATTAATAACGAAAAAATATTTGTTTTGTATTATTTTGAATGATGAAACCGAGTTAAAGTATTCTACTCACGATAATATCGAAGTTCACCGTTTGTCACCTATTTTCAGAGCGAGGCCGGCCACACTGCCATCGTCTTTCGATTGACAAGCGTTTCCAAATTCACGATTTGTTCCAGCCATCATCATCGCCGTAGAATTCCGTTTTCCGTTTTCCTTATCATGTTGGAACCATTGATCGTGCTTACAGTGTTGAACTGTTTCTTCATGTTCAGCTCAACTGTGACGACTTGCGCGTTGTGGTAATCGAAGTATATAAACAGTATTCCCATCTTACTTCCTTTTAATGTGTTCGCCAGGTGGCAATATCGTACTCATCGTTGCTGTTTCAAGAAAGATTCCATGCAACAGAGTATGAAGTACAATTTGTCCAAATCGAGGAACCCGTCGAAGAAACCAGTCGAAACTCGAAACAAGCCGGATAATAATAACCCCTCGAGTTCTATCCATCGAAGCAAGTCGAATGTGATTATGAACCGTGACAGTAAAAATAGGAGAACTTCGAAGAACAAAACGAGATTGAGCGCCAAGCTTCAGTCGGACAGCAAGATACCTAGCGATGAAAGATTATCCATGTAAGGAATCGTTAAAAATCTTTTCGCGTTGAAATTCTTCTTTGAAAATTCTATTGGATTTTTATTAAGAGTTCGTATTTTAACGTTTCAACATTTCTAAAGATTTTCGTATTTTAGAAGAAAATTATGGAAAAAAAAAAAAATTCACAAGTTATAAATCTCAATTATACTTTTCTTAATTTTAAAAATATTATTTATTAGATTCAAGTATAATTTAATTGTACGTTTCAATTTTTTTTGAAGTAAAAGTAGAGAATAAAAGATAATTTTATTTTTAATGATTATAATATTACCCGTTTATTTAGTGTTCCTTGAAAATCATATATCAAAATTTATTGTTATTTGAAGATTATGGCAATGTTGATTATTTAAGATGCTAAAAAAAATATGCATATCTATTATCTTTTTATTTTTCTCAAGTATCCACTTATCTGGATATCCAACGATACTAAAATTCTTAATTTTGCTTCTAATCGTATAATTTATTACGTTTCAAGAAACGTAATAATTAAATATATTATTTTAGAGAAACGATGAGAAATTGGGATCTCGAGGAGAAGGCGAAGATGTCAGAGGCGTCGCAAACTGCAGAAGCGAAATCGGCGGTGGTGATGGAATATTCAACCGTGCAAAAAATTGTCCAAATTTTGGACAACGAGGAGGATATTTTGGCCACGAAGATGGCCATGAAAGAGTTGAATTCTAAACAGACTATCGAAGAAAAGAAACCGACAGTAGAGATATTAAATGAACCACAGTTCGAGATAGTTCAAGCTTTACCTGAGTTCGAGTCAATGCCTGAAGAACAGACATATATCAATTAAATTTTGAGAAATAAATTTAATATATTTCTAATTTGTTCTCGCTTCTTTACATTATTATTACAAGTATATATGGACAATGGATATGTAGGTATTATTCACTTTGAATTCTATTAATTATTTTCTATTAATTATTATTTTACATCTTTTGGATGTGAAATAAGATATACAGATGATTAATCTTGTTGGTTATTTGATACTTTCGATATTTTCTAATCCGACAAAAATATTTCTTCTTCTTCGTTCACAAATTTTGTAAATTCTCTTTTTTTTGCAATCGCAGTCTGCTCGTTATCATCTATTTATATTTTATTATCAAAGGATATATATATATATATATATAATTCGAATGTTTGAACGTTCTATTATTAATTATCATTTCACATACCTAATTTTTTAATTTTGTAAATTTTGTAATATTTCATTTTCTGCCATTGATACTTGATATTTATAATTCTCTAAATCGTCGTAATTAGATTGGCAAGATGTTTGAAGCATAAGAGCCTCTGTAGAGCTTAAACAACATTGAACAATGCGTGAAATCTTTTCTTCGGGTTTTGATTTTTTCCAATTGCAATACTCGCTTGAATCGACTCTTCTGATGCTAATCAAATTTGGAAAACTGTAATGTTAATTGATCAATGATCTATCTACATATATATATATATATATATATATGTATATATATATATATTTTATATATATATCTATATATTTTAAGATAATGAAAAAATATTTTTTTTACCACTTGGACAACAAAGCGATCCAAATGCAACCTATGCAAACGGTGTTACATATAGTGAGACAATCAAACATTTCGATAAACGTCCAAATATTTCCACTTCACATTTTTTTTGTATCATTGAAATTTAAAGGTTCGCCAGGTTTTCAATTTTCTCAGCTGTCAATGAGACATTGCAAACTTCCGGTAACAAAGATATCATCTGTATCTCGAACTCGATAGTTCAAATATTTATAAAGCTTGTTTTTAATAAATTATAATTTTCTAACGAAGTTTAAGTTTTAAATATTTGCGAGAATCAATTTTCAGAAATATTAATTCCTTGAATAAAATAAAATTTAAAGAATAATTTGAAAAACATTAATAAAATTTCAAAAGAATCCCAATTTCTACTCATAAGCTGTTTAAGCCTTCTTTTCATTGTTCAAAATAAAATAATTTTTATTATAGAATTATATTAATTATAGCTCAGAATTTTAAAAAGTTTAAATTTCTTTTTTATCATTCCAAATAATAAATTTTTAGAAATTCTAATGAAGGAATAGAAAAAAATAAAGAAATAATTAGAAAATTTAAATAGATTTTTAAGAAATTCAAAATATTCATAAGCTAGTTTAAGCTTCATTTAAAATAGGAAAACTTTTCATTTTACGTAATGGCATTATTGAGTTCTATTTGAAAAGTTTTACGTTGAATGCATTTTGAAATGAAAAAAAGCGAAGAATTCATTAAGTTTAATTTTTTTTCTACGTGAAGAACATATTCCATCGCGGTTTTCGTTCACGATAGTGGGGATGGTGGGGAACATGTGTATTAGGGGGCCAAGCTTGAAGAATCGTTCTGCTTCGTACAGATATTGCAGTATTGCGTCGTCTTCCATAGATTGCACATAAAATTTTGTAAAATTACATTCTTGATAGTTTTTTCTTCTTCTATAATTTAGAATCGGTTCGATTAATTTTGTGGAATCGCATTTGGAAATTTTGGTAAGTAAAAAGAATAATTACGTATCATTATTATATAACTATACTTAAAGTATTCTTAATAATTTATTGTTAATAATCTTAATATTTATTTTTATTATTTTTAATAATACTTACTTATTAATTTAAGTGAGATTTTGATTGACTCAATTGAAAATATTTAATATAGAATAAAATTAGAATTGATAATTAACATTTTAAAAATTTAAGAAATGATTTTATTTTCATTTAAAAAAAAATAAGAATTTTATTGAATTAATAAGTAATGTCTAATGAACAAATTTTCATGTATTTTCTTAACTTCAATAATTGAATTTGAAACAGATTATAGAAATTTTTAACAAATTTTATACTCAAATTAATGTGTCAAATATTAATAGTACTTTTATCTACATAGATACAAGAGATTTTATATAAAAAAAATTGTTTAAGCAAGCAGAATTAGATATAATTTGATTTTTTCCAAATTATTGAATTTTATAAAATATATTATCGATTTCAATCTATTGTATGTAAATAAAAATTTCAATAAGCGAATTAATAAGAAATCATAGCAATTAAATAAAGATAAATTAAACCTAAAAAGCTAAGAAATTAATTTATAAAAAAGTATAAATATTCAGAGAATTTAATATAAATTATTACAGTATAATCGAATGATAGATGATAAAAAAGAAAAATGAAAAAGTTTCAAATTAAACAAAAGTAATCGAAAATCGATCGAAGATCGATCACCTTATTTCTTCCTTCCACTTTATTGTTTACATTTGCACTTTCTCTTCTCCTGATTTACAATTTTTGATTTTCGCAACGATCTAATCAATTTTGTTCACGTTCAAGCGATCTTCCAGGCTCGATTTCGTGGTATCGAAATAAGCTTTCTCCGATCGACTTACGAAAAATAAAAAATAAAAAAAGAAATAGCTTCACCCAAGATTCGGCGATGATGCAACTCACGATCGATGTTTAATTCCAATCACGTAGAATTTCTTCTTTTCTTATTCCTTTTCTTTCGTTTCTTATGCAAAGTTCTCAGAGAATGCACGATCATTTCACCTTCGAAGTTCGATAATTTGTATAATCGACGATAGTAGTAAATCACTATGTGTGCTCGTAATTATGACGACATAGGATTTGGCCTTATTCATCGGTCACGTTTATCGAATCTAACGTTTTTTTTACTGGAATAAAAAATGTAAGAATTATTTGAAAAAAATTATTGAATAAAAAAAGATTAATAAAAATTGCAACTTGAAATTCTATTAATTATTAATTATTAACTTTCATAAGGAGCTTCAAAAATGCTTTCTTGATTTTAATATTTTAAGCATTATTAATTATTGGAATTAAAAAAAACTCATTCTTTAAAAAATCAAATTACTTTTAAACATCAAATAATTTCTGATTCGTATAAAAATTTTTAAAAATATATATATATATATATATATATATATATATATATATATGTATT